TCCTTCCTAACAACGTCTCCTATCGTCCTGGGGAAGCTGTCTTATCTTTTAGTTTCCAACATCTGCTTTTGGAGTATGTAATTTACATCACTATCTCTTTCATTTCATCACTTAGCGTCACCCTCTTGCTTGTGAGTGGAGTTCCTATGAAGAAAACGCTGTGCTATGGCTTTTATCCATAGGCATGTGTATCAACTCTCACAACCCTAGCCCTTGCCTACTTAACTGCTCTTTGTATGGTGATGCCAAGCCATTTTCTTTGGAATAATAAAGCAGGTTGGACCACCGTTGCAGCCTCAATTTGGCCCTGGTCTGGATTGCTTGTGCTGATTGTTGTGTTAATTTGGATCGTGAAGAAATGTGCCAGACTAATCAGAAAGCTGTTGACATGTGGAATTAGACAAAGTTGATGCTGTTTCTTTATATATCTCATTTCAACTAATGCTATTTATTGTCTGGCGGGTTACAAGTGGCATGGGTTGCTTTTAGGATCATAATTCATGGTATATCATGGTTACATGTTTCTCTTATATATTTAGATCTGATCTGTTCTAAGTTTGTACTTTGTAACAAAATTATATTTAGATAATTTAAAATTATTGTCATCTCAATCTACTGATTGATTAAAGTTTTCTGTCAAACTAAGATGTGTTTGTGTAGAAGTCATGTTTAGGAACCTTTGGCATCAAAATAGGGAAGAAAGGAGAATTGATAAAACCCATACACGCCCAGTACTGGAAACAAAGTGCCAAAATGTTGAAAGAGAAATTGTTTCATAAAGATTTTAAAATAAATAGGAATTTGGTTTAAATATAAGGATGATTAATGGGTATAAGATATGCGAAGAAATCTGAGTCTGGTGATCAACCGTTATATCAATTACCTTTCAAGCTTTAATTAACCCACTTCGTTGCTTCATTCAATAAGTTAATCGATCTCATCGTCAAATGTTTTGTGCTAGAGAAGAAATCTCATCCTTTCGTAACCCGTGGTGTTATGTGGCCTGAGCTGTATTGCTTGTTCTAATTATCCAGTTGCAATCGTGAAATTTGTTTTTTTATGATCTTAAAGCATATAATGATCAGAGTATTGTAATTTTTGTTTTAATGAGTTGAAATTCACATAATAAGTACCTAAGTTATTTTTCATCATAATAATGTGCGTGCATATATAGTAAGTAGCGTTTAAACGAATCATATGTGCAAGGGAAATGAGAACTTTATGTGATAGCGGCAAAATGAGAGATCTTTGAGAGACATCACTTTTTTTTGGGGGGGGGGGGTTTATCAATTTTGAACTCATTGGTACAGCAAAACCCGTTAATCCTCTTCAAGATTTCAAGAACTGCCTTCAGTGAAACTCCTTTACACATATGATCATTGCTAGGTCATGTTTAAGTCACAAGGGCCCTTCTCATGGACAACTCAAAACTCGCCATTGAGTTGGACTCTTTTCAAAGCACAGTCCTCCATTTGGCTTCTGCAGAGGGTCATGTCTACATTATTGTGAAGGACTTCACTTGCTTCAAGTTTTTGACGAAGCATGCTTGGTTCGTGATGAAGACGGAAGAATTCCTCTACACCGTGCAGTTATGAGAGGGGGATCGAATAGAGAGTGTGAGAGAGTTGGTAAAAGCGAAACCAGAATCCCTGAGTTATAGTGTTAATGTGGAAACTGTTTTTCACTTGTGTATAAAGTAGAACCATTTTTTTTTAACCAAAAAAAAAAAAACCATTTGGAGACCCTCCAAGCTTTGGTGGAACTGGGGTTGGCCGTCACCGGCGAGCTTATCAACTTCACAAGCTCTGATGACGCCGGCTTTTTATTACATGGCTTTGTCTTGAATTACTCTTTAGAATTTATTTTTCTTTTTTTGTCTTGAAAGACGCGTGCCTAAAAACCTTCAATTTTAAGTCTAGGGCTGGCAACGGCAGGGATCTCTTTGGCAGGGGTCTGTTTGTTTTGTTCCGTATTTTTTAATATTTTTTTTCCTTATAGGCCAATGAGAAGTAAAAAAATTTTTGTAAAAAAAAAAATTCCGCTTTGACCATATTGACTGCGACTTGCTCCTTAAATTCAAGAAATTCGATCGACTAGAACATGTAAATTTTACCTTTCTGTTTTGATACTTAATAGTTACATCGACTATATATATTTTAGCTAGACTTTTCACAACTCGGGAAGACGCGAACCCAATTCTAGCCCAACGAACCTACACCCAAGCAATACACCGACTTGTTTTTATTTTTTTTGGTTTAGAGCGTGAGGTACCCCTTTTAATTCGTACTTGAATCGAAGACGAAGATGTATAATATTATTCATCGTGTTTTGTTCTTCTCGTAGTGGAATGCAATAGGGTTAATTTGCATGCTTTATTATTTCTAGAATGCTCTGTTAATTAGTGTCATTTAAATTTAAATCTGCAATAAAGATAAGAAAACAAAGATGAAAAAAGAAAAGAAATATTAATGTTCCTATCTACTTTCGTGTGCTTGATTTTCGTTGATGGCGGAGGAGTGCAGCCATTGGTTATATTCTTAATTTAGGGAATTGATGCTGGTGATCAAATAGGGTAGAACATTATAATTAATAAATTATATACAGTTGAAGTAATAAACATGTTTAGTATTATATCAAGTCATCGTATTCCAAGCTATCTATAAATGGAAGATTTAATATAAAATAATAATATTAATAATAATATATAGGAAATCGATTACCAACTGCAAGTGCTGATTGGGTTACATAATTTTTTTGCCCCCAACTGGCCTGGGTAACATAATGACTAGTGTTATATTTCTGGACGTTTAATAGGTATACATTTGAATTGGTCCACTTGAGACACGAGAACTCAGCCCATAAGATAAAGACCATCGATCTTTTCGTGTTATCCTACCGCTATGCTTAGTATTAGTATGATTTTTAATTTGATTCAAAATATAATATGTTAATTTATTTTATTTTGCATATTTATTTATGTTTTTAAAAGTAATTTCTACAATTGTTCCACATAGTAAATATCTTATTAAATGATAGTTTTAGTCAATGCATATTATCAATGTAGATGTTTTAAAGAAGATAAAATATATTTATTATAAATAACTAATTTAACTAATTTTTTTAATTTTTCAAATTAGTTAATTAAGTCTTATAATAAGGACCGGATGTAGTATAAGAACTAGTTTGACATTCAATTTGATCCTAAATATAAGGCACTAATTTATTTTGTCTCTCATATTTATTCACTTTTTTTAAGGTAATCCTGATAAAAGTTGCACGTGTTAAATGTTTCACTAAATAGTAATTCTAACTAATACACATTATTAACAAGTATATTTTAGAAAAGAAAATATCTTTTTATTATAAATAACTCACTTAATTAATTTTTTTAATTTACTTAAATTAATCAGCTAGTTTATCTGTTAAGGACCGGAGGAGTATTAGGTGTGGTTTTTGACTAAGCCATCTAACTTCGTTAGTGTTTTTTTAAAGAATATTTTGTTAAATATTTACCTTGAAATTGTCACAAAAAAAGAAAAAGACGACAGAGAAAAAAAAAACAGAAAACTGGATACTCTATCCATGGATCCAATTTAATCGCAAGCCGATGTATGTGATTAAATTATATTGTTGGCTGAGCCACGTACTCATTGCTTGTCAGAATCTAGCCATTACAAGGAACATATCGGATCTAACATCATTATGTATTGCAATAAGCATATACATATATATACACACACGCATTTGCATGTTCTCCTGTTTTTATATCGTAACTAATAGTAATTCTAACTAATACATATTATTAGCAAAGATATTTTAAAAAAGATAATATCTATTTATTACAAATAACCTACTTAACTAATTTTTTTAATTTACTTAAATTAGTTAACTTACTCTATATTAAAGACCGAAGGAGTATGATGTATGGTTTTTGTTTGAGCCATCTAACTTCATTAGTGTTTTTTTAAAAGAAATATTTTGTTAAATTAATTGAAATAGTCACAAAAACGGACAAAAAAAAAAACAACAGAGGGAAAAAAAAACAGAAAAACTGGATACTCTATCCATAGATCCACTTTAATCCATTATATTGTTGGCTAAGCCACGCACACATTACTTGTCAGAATTTAGCTACTACAAGGAACATATCGGATCTAACAACATTATATGTTACAATAAGCATATATATAAATATGTACATATTTGTATGCACATCAACTAAATTATCTCTCTCCTGTTTTTATGTTATTCATTTTTCTTTAAACTGGGTCATTGTATTTAACTTTTATTGAACCGTACAAGTCAACATGTGAGGATACTGTTTTTAATAATAATTTGCGTGTGGTGTACAATTGGAGGCCATCGAATTCTGGCAAACTTCTCAACTTATTAAGCTCCAACTTGTTACTGATGGAAGGCCCAAAAAGAACTTGTTCCTGATGGGTCAGACCATGAAATTACAGTAGTACTGTTGTTCTAGCCCTTTCATTTACTTTCGTTTGGAATTATTAACTAATCTTAACTACGCGCATATGACATCAACCTGATGTGTCGGACAAATTAATTATATGAAATGTTGGCCTAGAGGAACCATAAAAAAATATTAAACTAGACAACACGGAAATACTATATATAGAGGTATTAACGAGAAAGAAGGTATGGTTAAATAATTATCTCTCTCTTCCTCTCTTTTTTTTAAATGACAAACGAAGAATGTTGGATGGATTTTTTTTTTTGGCCAGAAAAGAATGTTGGATGGATCAAACATGCCCACAGAAAAAGGTCTTCCCAAAAGAAAACTAAGTGCATGTGATTGAAATAACGCAGAAGTTAGTTAATTCACATATACATTGTAAAATACAAATCGAATAAATTGAGGGGCCAGAGATCAACAGCAACTATAAATTGGAGAATGAGTTATCCTGAACTTACATTTCTAAGTATATTCTTCTTAATTTGGTGTAAAGCAAATAGTAGATTCTAATAATTTGCCGCGAGAGATGGAACTCGTGAAAATTGAAACTGCTCGTCATCATCAGGACGATGAGAGAATGAGAGTTCTTTACGAGGCATCATACGAAGGAAGCGTTTCAACTTTGAACATGCTAATACAGCAAGATCCGTTAATCTTGCACAGAATTAACTCGCGAACTATCCTTATTGAAACTCCATTACACATATCAGCTTTACTCGGCCACCTTGAATTCACCGAAGCCCTTCTTGCTCACAAACCCAAACTAGCCCTTGAGCTTGACTCCTTCCGAAGCACACCTCTTCATGTAGCTTCTGCAGAAGGCCACATCGACGTTGTGAAGCAGTTGTTGCTGTATTATGACGACGCGTGCTTCGTTCGTGACCAAGAAGGCAGAATTCCCTTGCACTACGCTGTTATAAGAGGGAGACCAGAGGTTGTGAAAGAGCTAATTAGAGTAAAGCCAGAGTCTTCGAGGATTCTTGACAAAGGGAAGACCATTTTTCACTTGTGTGTGGCGTACAACCACTTGCAGATCATCAAAGCTTTGATAGAGTTGGCTATTGATGACACCTACGAACTCCTAAATGAGAGAGACTTGGATGGAATGAACACTATTCTCCATTTGGCTGTCATGTTGAAGCAAGTTGAGGTACTTGTGACTTAATTTTATAATATAATTCTGCACTACATTAATTGACTTGAGTTTCATATATATATAGCTGGACGCAAACAAAGTCTGCACTAAATTAACATTTTGCATCACGAAAGAAGGATCATGAGAAATATTCTCTGGGACCAACTGCCAATTATTATTCTAGTCGCTAATTTTGTCAAAACAAAATTGAAATGAGAGCTCTATGACGAAAAACTTTGATCTTGATACCTGGTAAACCACTTCAAATGCAAGAGTTTACTTTACTTTAACATCTCAAGTAGACCGCATATAGTTGACTGCCCTATTAGCGCTTATATTTCAATTAATCTTTTATCTAAACTGTCATACCTCAAAAGCATTAAAAATATTTATATATTTACATGATTATTGTCTAGACTGTGAGGTACCTCATGTCAATTCCTGAAATAAGAGAAGCGTCAGACTTGAAGAACAGCATGGGTTATACTGCCCACGATATTCTTCAGCGAATTCCGCAGGACTTCAAGTGCCTAGAAATACAAGCTATACTGATGAACTACCCTGGCATCAAAAGCGAAAATGTACAAATGAACACTACTCCTGAAGCACTGACGACTAATACTAATGTTGTGGGCCAACAAGAAGTGAGACCTCGGGAGAAGTTTTGGAGAAATATTTTAAAGCGTATGGGAAAATGGTTCGATCATAATAGCGACAATAATTGGTTAGAAGATATGAGGGGAAATTTAAGTCTTGTGGCTACTGTCATGGCGACCATAACCTTTCAAGCTGTATTTAACCCTCCGGGAAATGTGATTCAACAGGGTATATTAGTCAGTTCCAACAGCACCATCAATGAAGGAGACAAAAATTTTATCGCTTTTATAGAATCAAGTCCCCTCGGCTGCTTGCCATTCAAGAGTTATGATAGTCGTCACGACTTTACTCCGCATGCATGTCCTGGAGAAGCTATGCTTGCTTCTCGTAAGCCAGATCTCTTTCAGGTATTTATAGTCTGCAATACCACCTCTTTTGTTGTGTCTCTTTGCGTTGCCCTTTTGCTAGTAAGCGGAGTTCCTCTAAAAAATAAACTTGTTATGTGGATATTGTGTATAGCCATGTGTGCTGCTCTCACATTCCTAGCAAGTGCCTATTTTATCGCCCTCTTTCTGATCACTCCACAAAAACCTTGGTTGACGCCCACTGATTTGGCGTCTGGCATAGCCAGTTTCATTTGGTATGGATTGCTTTTACTCATTAGTTTGTACATCATAACCCTCTTGGTTATCTGGCTAGTAAAGATAAAAAAGCATCGGATAAGAGGAGCGGAAACGGAAACAGCTTTTGCTTGATGTGATCTCAATCAATGCGTGTGCTCTTGAGCCATTGCGAAGTTAACGTTTGCAGAGGCTTTTCAAGATTATTGTAGTTGGTGGTGTGTCAGTGCGTTTGTATTCTCTGGTATGCTTTGTTAATTAGTGTCGTTTAAATTTTAATTTATAATAAAATGTTGTCTCCCTGCCAAAAGAGAAAACAAAGATGTAAAAGAAGAAGAAGAAGAAGAAAGTATTGTTGTTCCTATATCTATGTACTTTCGTGTGTGCCTGAGTTTTCATTGATGAGAGAGAGGAGTACAACCCTGGCTTTCCCTTATTAGTTGATCTTATTGTATTCATAATTTTGGAAATGGATGTTGGTGATCAAATAGAGTAGAAAACTGTATCTAATTAATTATATATAGAGTAATCTAATTCAGTATACGTATAATTAAAAAAAAAACAGTTGAAAACTAAAGATGTTTAATATTATATACAGTCCTTTCATGGTCATAAGATTCTAATAAATACAACTTGATTATTGCCGTGTATTCCAAGTTTTCTATAACTAAAGGATTTGATATAAAATAACAAATAGTACTTAATAATACCTCAGCTCGCTTAGAATTTAAAAAATGATAAATAAAATAATAGATCTAACGTATGCATTAATATAATTTACGAACACTAGTGTGACGCAAGTGATAATTTAGTTAATTAGGTAATTTAATATTCAAAGTTCGCTTTCTCGGCAAGACGTTTAATAATATTACGCATTATTGCATGTCAAATGCGGAAAAATTGGCCCATGAGAAAAGATGATCATTGACCTATTGTACGCCTCTATCCATAGATCCGTATTAATCACAAGTCAACTCTCTCTCTCTATGTATATATAACTAAGCTATTGTTTGCATTATTACCAGCATAAACATGGAAATAAACTCTAAGAATTATAAAAATTATATATACAAACCTATGTACTAATATGTATCATTAGGTAAACGATGTTAGTGAAACTTTACCACTTATAATATGTTTTCCCTCTTTTGCAAATTTTCGTTTGGGGGGAAAAAAAAATACAGAGGTTGAATTGGTCAGAATCGGCCAAAAGAAATACAGCCTACTTCTTTGGACTGAATATGGTTAATTAACTGGGTGATGAAAATATTATTAGGGCAATGATAAATTGGACAGGTCAAAATTCAGAAAACAATATTTGTAAATGACATTGCTGGTAAAGTATTAATTTATTATTCCGATGGTGTGATGTTACTTTCACAAACTGAGTTCTCGACAATGCTTTCACATAATTCCACAGGAGTAGAAAATACTTAAGAGGATTCGCCATATCAAATTGTTTTTTAAAAAAACATACATAAAACAATAGTTTAGTAGCCCAATAAATTCCATCTTTCACTAAATAAGAACTCTGAATGTATTCTTTAAAATAAGGTGATGAAATATAAATATATTTATTATATCTTCTAATTTTCGCAACCCTGAAGACTATTCAACTATATGACACTACAAGAAAATATAGTTTTTATCTCCCTCATTATGTTTGTTTATGAAAACGAAAGCGAAAAAATAAGTATTTTTGTCTGTTTGAGCAAAACAGACAAGAATAAGCTCCATGTTCTCGTCTGTTGTGGACAACAGATGAGAACATAGAGCTTCTCGTCTATTCTATTAGTAACAGACGAGAAGTTCTCATCTGTTACTAATGAAATAGACGAGAACAGGCTCCTTCTCGTTTGTTTTAATCTTGTTTTATTAAAACAAACGAGAAGGAGTCTAAATTTTTTTTTAAAAAAATTGCCCTAGTTAATAGCAGCCCACGGACATCTCCCTCCCATCCCATTTTCATTCCTGCAACACTCTTCCTCCCATCTCCACTGCTCCCCTCGGTGACCATAACTAACGCTTGCAGTCTGTCATCTCTTCCTCTTATCTCTACAGCGAACGAAGGTTGCAGGAGCTGCATCTCCACTACTGTAGCATTTCTCTCCTTTGCAAGACGATGACGAGCTGTTAAATAGGGATCTTTGAAGGGCCAACAACGAGAACGACTCCATCGGTAACGATCAATGTTCGTTCACCTTCTAACACTGTTCTTCTTTTCCTTGCGAATTCAAGATCTTGCGATACTATTCTATTCCGATGACTATCTTGGTGATAGACTTTCAATTTCAGTTTGGGGGAGGCTATAAATCTTCAGTATTGTTATGATGAGAGTGAAGCAAAAGTAGATGAGTTGGGGTTGGGGTTTAATTCTCTGGATAACACAACGCGAAGATTTTTTTATGGTAGGGGAAGAAGTGGGGTTTAGATAAGAATTGGTTCACATGTCAACAAGGGTTTTATGAAGAACAGCGAGACTTGGAAATTTAGGATAGGGGATTGGGGAATGGAGAAGGCAGTTGAAACTTTGTTATTTCGGGTTTGAGCTGATTATCAATTAGAAGACTCTATTTCATTTATTTATCAATATGTTTTATGGAAACACCTGATGATGGTTAGAGATCATGAATCTGAATAGGACTCTACCCTTACACCCTATTCAACCGAGGTAACAGCTTTATGCAATGAATTCAACTATTCATGTGTTTTTGTTCATATCGCCTAATAAGCAAGTTGGATTCTTTCACTAAAATAAGTAAAATTAAAATTAGAGGTTACAGCCTGCTACCGGGGACTTATTTTTCTAAAGGCATAGATAGATCATAGACATATCTCTTATATGAATCTTGGGGAAAAAGTAGGCGCCTAAAATAGATACTCGCCCGTTTTGATTAGTAGAAATCAATTAGATAATCCAGTATTAGTTATTATCAGTATATAGCCAAGTAGTCGTTCTGTATTTACTTTGATTCTGAGGCACTCGTGCTAGAATATCTAACCCATTAGTTACATTAAGAATGCAAAGAAACAAGGTTATGGCACAAACGTAGTAAATGTTTCACAAATAACCTAACATTATAAATCATCTATGATTATGATTTTTCAATCGCGAGTCCTTAATCTCTTATATATACAATTCATATTATAAGTTGTGTTCAAATGTTGCACATGGGGATGTGGACGCTTGCTGACAAATTTCTTGTTTCTTTTTCTTTTAATTTGATTGGAGGTGGCTATGCTAAGCAGTTGCGCTCTCCATATTCAGTGGAGTTAGTTGGGTATAGTGCAGACCAGCAACACAGATTATTGATATTCAAATTCATTCCTAATGAAAGGGTGCGTTAGAAACTGAATCAAAAGGCAAGCATGATGCTTAAGTTAGATACCCATTTATGTATCAGTTTATTGTTTAGATATTTTGTTTCATAAAGAGAAGTTAATCATTTTTGCTTGTATTTCTTTTTTTGTTATCTACTCTTTTATTATTCACTTTTGTTCTCCTAATTTTGAAACAAAATAATGGGAAGCTAATAATTATTACATGAGAAAAGGGTGGTACTAGTGTCCTAACTAATAAGAAGGGCAAAGAAAAGGTCGAGGTATTGTGTTATCTAGCAATCCTGTTTTCCCTATTACTTGACATATATTAAAATGATTTTTTCTCGTACAGAAGAGCTTGCAGCTAGTAAATCTAATTGTTAGTTGTTGGTCAAAGATATGACTAAGTCATTCATTCCTGTTTACAGTGATTGAGTAGAGGCTTTATAGAAGCTTCCTCAAGTTTTGTTGTTATTACTCCCAAGTGGTAAGTTTCTTCATTTTGTCTTTTCTTAATTACTATTGTATCTATATTCCTTGGGTACGAGTTGAAAAACATTTTATTGTTGTTGTTTACTTCTTTTTTCATATAATAGTATTTTTTATCACATGTTTTCAGGTACCAAATTTTGATAATTTAATCTCTTGTTTCAATTTTTTTTAGTGTCTCTTTAATAATGAAGGCAACTCCACCTATATTGTATAGCCGGACCGGATAAAGGAGGAGGGTTGTGTTAGGCCCTCGACAGCCAACGTAAAAACCCGCGAATCTCATGAACATAGATCAACGAAGTAATTATGCTAATACTAGGTCGTTGCCCAGAAGTGACGTGCTATATGGCTCGAGTACAGTGAGAAGTGAGCTAGAGCTGCTACATCAACTCCCCCACACTTAGCCTTTTGCACTCCTGGGCAAAACTTTATTACAGAAAAATTCAATAGAGAGACAATGCATGCAACCATAAAATTAACTAAGCATGGATGTGCAATTAACTCAAGCAATCCTTACTCCTCATTAATCAACAATCATAGAATACTTCAGTGCAAAGAAATTAACACAAGAAACATAGCAAGATAAAGAAAAAGAAACATAATAGAGCTCACATAGGGTACAAGTATTTCACTCATCTCTCAAATGAGAAAAATTCCACTCAGACCACCTAGATTAGCACCTACCATAAGCTTGTAGAGATTCTAATATCTCCACCACTAGCATACCTTAGATTCATGATCAAGGGGACTTGAAGGGTTGTAATGTTGAAAAATAAGGCCAAATAAATAAATGGACTAACAAGTGAAATGCATGAGTAATAAAGTATCAACTCAAAGTGAGCTTAAAGTACAATCATGAAACAACACCAATGTGCAGATTTTAACCTTCTGAGACAGAAATCCTTGCTCTTCAAACCACCATGGAATGCCTTATTTCAAATTTATTCTTTTGTTGCAACTTATTTTCTCTCTCT